CATTTGTGGCACTAATTCACTGAATGAGTGAATGACTCGACATTTGATTCAATATTAGGTCAGCTGTTATGCCATTGCTATTCACCTGACATTACCTACTCATACCTCACTGTCCTGAACTGTACACATCAACCATGATTTCATGTCATTCACAGACACACCACCAGATCCAGTGACAGAGTGACAGTTCAGTCATACAGTCCGGTGTTACTCAACCAATGCTAGCATTCATTGCAATCATTTGCATCTAATTTGACACTAAAATGACGATTGATTTCAGGGATTACTTCTGGGTATGTGTTCACCACTCTCTCTGTACAATCATCACTCAATTGATTCAATTGTCTTATTGTCTCATTTGTTACCATTTCATACCAATTATCATGAATATGACATTTGTTTACAACTCAATTGAGTCTATTTTGAATATCTCTGCTATTTGTCCACTATTTCATGTGATTTGAGTCCATTGAGTGATGATATTGTCGTTGTTTAGACATAAATAGTAGATATGATAGTAAATGTAGCATGGTGATTATTAATGTGTATGTATGCCCAATATGTGACCATATGTGCCAATATGACCAATATGACCATGGTGATGATGGTGGTGATGATGATGATGGTGGTGACGATGATGATGATGATGATGATGATGGTGATGGTAGGGCTCGAAGCACTCCGGGTTTGACGTGTTATACCAGAACATGAAGGCCAACCATTTGGCGACCAAAGAGTTGACTGAATTCATCCGCGAGAGGTATACTCGGAGTGTTGTCTCGCATACAGTGCTCTCATTCATGCCATTGATTACCACTTTTAGATCACTCATCGAAGAGACTAATTGCAAGCTTTTGGTGAAACTGTCAAAACAGGCCAATAATAACACTTCCATTCATGGGTTAAATGAATTGATTGTTTGTCTCATATGTTAGACATTAATATATTAAATGTTGGCTTATATTTCAGCACATTTTTACCGCTTTGGAAAATATTGAAGTCTTCGGCTGAGAAGTTGTCATCACTTCACATGCAAATGGT